AGGAATGAATGTGCACTTGTGTGTGAGCGAGCGTGTGCAAGCCTGCATGTGTGTGTGCATGTATGAGCGTGGCTGTGCACGTGTGTGTGTAATGTGTATATGAATGGAAATGTGTGCACGTATGTGTGTAACATGTGTATGAATGGAAATGTGTGTGACTAGGTGTATTGGAGATTGAGTGTGATTGTGTGTTGGTGAGCAGTGTGTGTGTGTGAGCGTGCATCCCAGCACTGTTGCAGCCACAGTTTCTTTGGACCCTGAAAACTGTCCGGAACTACAGGGCAAGGTAAGGTGCGTTTGTTTATTTGTCTATAAAACATTACATACATTTCCCTATTGTACAAAGACTAGAGAGAAAGAAAAATCAAAGAAAAATTGAAAAATCAGAAATAAAGGAGAAAAGATGTGTCCCCCAGCCCTACCACAACCTGTTTCCTCCCAGTCCTTTATCCTGGGCATCTCTTTTCTCTTATGAACACAGACGCATTTCTCCTCCTACCTTTTCTCTGAGAGTGTATTTTGAGCAGGTGCTTTGTTGAAGAAGGCACAGTAGTTCATGCAGCAGATGATTTTCATGCATTTCCGTAATCTCCTACTAGTGGACATTTAGGTGTTTGACAGCTTTTGCTGTTAAAACAGCAATGAAAGTATTCATTTCCCCATTTTGCAGGTTAGGAAATTGAGGCTTAGAGAGGTCTAAGGGCCCCATAGCTACTAAGTGAGGAAGCCAGAATTTGAACTCAACTGCCTTTTTTGACTGTACCACGTGTGAGAGTGTGAGACCACGGATGCCGGTTTGAGTTTGCGCACTTCTTATAAGTAAAGAGAACAACTCAGAGCTGCAAGTTGGGCAGAAAGGGCTTGGAAGCCAAACCACAAACTTACTTTCTTAGAAGACAGGGCTCCTGGGTGCAGGTCAGTTCTTCATCCCTCAGGGCAGATGACTGAGGTTGGAGGGTCTGGGAAAGCTCCCAGAGGGAGGGGCTCCAGGAAATGGGGATCCAGCCCAGCCTGGATGGGCTGGCTTGATGGAGACCCTTCAAGCTGTGCCCTGTCCCCAGCCACTGGGCATCCTGTCCATCCTGGAGGAGGAGTGTATGTTCCCCAAGGCCTCAGATGCCAGCTTCCGGGCCAAGCTCTATGATAACCACGCGGGGAAGTCGCCCAATTTCCAGCAGCCACGGCCTGACAAGAAGCGCAAATACCAGGCCCACTTTGAGGTGGTTCACTACGCGGGCGTGGTAGGTGCCTGTTGAAACCCCAGCTCTTGAGCTCTCTCCTCCCTCCTCCGGGTTCCCCCACCTCGGTTCAGCCCCCGTCTGGTCTGTGGCAGGTGCCTTACAGCATCGTGGGCTGGCTGGAAAAAAACAAGGATCCACTGAATGAGACGGTGGTCCCCATCTTCCAAAAGTCACAGAACAAGCTCTTGGCTACTCTCTACGAGAACTATGCTGGCTCCTGCTCTAGTGAGTACAGAGGGATGAGATTCTGTAGGGGACTCACAGAGGGATGTCCTTTGGAGTGGTGACTGGTCCCATGTCTCTCCTAGCCGAGCCCCCCAAGTCTGGGATGAAAGAGAAGCGTAGGAAGGCAGCATCATTCCAGACGGTGTCCCAGCTCCACAAGGTGAGGCCCAGTCTAAGCCTCGTGCAGGCCCTCACCCTGCCGCCTCCACCCCGTCCCGGCTCCCTGCTCTGTCCCCTGCACCCTGGGCGGGCGGCTGTTAAGACTTGCAGTGATGTTTAATTCCTCTCCACGTGAACATCACAGCAAGTCTGTGCTGCTTCCCGTCCCCATGCTGCCTGGGCAGGGTTTGCGGGAGGATGGGGCCGGAGCCACAGGGATTGGGTTGGGGAGTGAAGACTTTGGTGATGGTAACGGGGACCCAGTCAAACAGAAGAGGGCAAAGGGTCACAAGGAGCAGAGTGAAAGGGCAGCACTGCAGAGACACGCTTAGGCACCTACTGCACAGTCCTTAAGGGGCTCATCCACTGCGGTTTCCAATTCTGCTTCTCTGCCCTCTTGTGCTTTCTCCCCTCTCCTCACCCCCAGGAGAACCTCAACAAGCTGATGACCAACCTGCGGGCCACACAGCCCCACTTTGTCCGTTGCATTGTCCCCAATGAGAACAAGACCCCAGGTAGTCACCCCAGGGTGGGTTGGTGGCACGGGGGCACATTGGAGGGAGGGGACAGGGCAGACTGGAAGCGGGGTCTTGCCCCCTCCGCAGGGCCTGCTCAGCCTCAAAGTGAGCCCTGTGTCTGGACTCCTCGTCTTTTCTGGGGCATGAAGTTGTGTCCATTGACCTCTAATCTTTTCCTTTAACCCCCACCATGTCCAGGGGTCATGGATGCCTTCTTGGTGCTACACCAGCTGCGTTGCAATGGGGTTCTGGAGGGGATCCGGATCTGCCGACAAGGATTCCCCAATAGGCTGCTTTACGCTGACTTCCGGCAGCGGTGGGTGTCTCCCTGCCCCAGCCCTGGTTCCTCCCCAGCTCCAGCCTGAGGGGGTGGAAGGGCACCGAGGAGGATGCAGGGGCACTGGGGAGAGGGCCAGAAGGTATCCCAGTGGGAGATGCTGATGGCTGAGACCTGGGGGTGGGCGGTGGGCTCGGGGGAGAAGTGAACAGGCTCAGGGTAAATATTGGAGGTGCAGCCAACAGGCCTTGCTACTGATGAGTTGGATGAGGAGTAAGAAAAAGAAAAGACAAGGGTGACTTCTGGTTGTTTAGCCTGAGCAACTGGGGAGTTGGTGGTAGATTTACTGAGAAACCAAGATAGGATTTTAAAAATTTTGTGGGGAAGTAGGAGGAGAGTGGACTGAGCTCTACTTTGAACATGTCAGCTTTGAAATGTCTCCGGCAGGGAATTCCCTGGCAGTCCAGTGGTTCGGACTCCGCGCTCTCACTGCTGAGCGCCCGGGCGTTCGATCCCTAGTCGGGGAACTAAAATCCCACAGGCCACACAGCATGGCCGGAAAAAAAAGAAATGTGTCCAGCAGATAGGAAAGTTGAGGGGGAGATTGGATTTGTTAGTCTGGAGCTCAAGGGTCAGGGGGCAGGCAGAGCTGGAGGTAGATTTGGGAGTTGAATGAGGGTTCACGTGGACTAGACTTTATGTAATGGCTGGCACCAAGTGAGGGCTCAGTCCGTGCTGTTAGCCCCTCTGCCTTCCCTTTATAGGTTTGATTTTTGTCAGGCTGCAATCGTGCACAGTTCCCTCCCCCTTCAGAAGTAACTGGGGCCATCCACGCTGACCATTATACTTGTGTGTCCATACAAATAATGTACACATGGGTGCACGCACACATGTTCTCTTTGTTTTTCCCTGTAACTATATGTCTTGGAGATTGTTCCTTATTAATAGACATAAGTCTGCATCATCATCCTTTTTTTTAAAATTAAGACTTTCTTTTTTTAGAGCAGTTTTAGGTTCATAGCAAAATTGAGGGGAAGGCACAGAGATTTCCCATAAGCCCCTGCCCCCACACGTGCACAGCCTCCCCCGTCATCAGCATCTCCCACCAGAGTGGGACATTTGTTACAGCTGATGAGCACGCACTGACACATCCTAATCACCCAGAGTCCATAGTTGCCATTACAGTTGGTGTAATGGAACTTGGTGTTGTACATTCTAGGGCTTTGGATAAATGTATTGACACATGCAGCAGCATCCATTTTGTTATGGCAGTAAAATATCCCATAATCCAGTGAACCGTGCTTTGTTCATCAGTCCCTTAGGATGGGGCCTTTTTGTGTTTCTAGGGTTTTGCCTTCACGGTGTGGTCACAACAGCCTGACCCACACAGCCCTGTACACATGTGCAAGTGTGTCCCCTTTAGAAGTGGGTATGCCAGAACCCTTGCTCTTGTTGATTAGAATTCTCTCCCAAATGTTTCTTCAGTTTGTGATACGCTGTAACACATCACCTTCTTTACTTTTTTCGGCCTTCTGAAAAAAATGATAAATCATTAAAAATCATAAACTAAAAAATTATAAAAGTGCTGTATGCCTTCTGTAAATGCTGCAGGCTCTTAAAGAACTTAACTACTGAATGCATTTAAATGCTACCCAGGCTTTTAAAGCCGAGTATGCCCAGTCCTCCAGTGTCACAAGGCCGTCCCCCGCCGGCCTGTTCAGGGGGTGGCCCTCTGGAGCTTCTGCTCCGGCCTCTGAGGGGCCAGCCTCTTCAGTCGTCGGCTCCCTGCCCAGCACCCTCCTCTCCAGCCCTTCCTGCTCCCCCAGGTACCGCATCCTGAACCCCAGTGCCATCCCAGACGACACCTTCATGGACAGCAGGAAGGCCACAGAGAAGCTGCTGGCCTCGCTGGACATCGACCACACCCAGTACCAGTTTGGCCATACCAAGGTCAGGGCACAAGGGAATTAGGGCGCTGGACTGGATGTGGGCAGTCACACTGCAGAGGTCACGCAGGCGACTGAGGGTTACACCTACCGCCCACACCCCAGGTGTTCTTCAAGGCTGGGCTTCTAGGCGTCTTGGAGGAGCTTCGTGACCAGCGTCTGGCCAAGGTCCTGACACTGCTGCAGGCACGGAGCCGGGGCCGCCTCATGCACCTCGAGTACCAGCGCCTGCTTGGAGGCAGGTGGGTGTCGGAAGGGGGTGGGGGGGATGCGGGGGTACAGCCACTGTCCCCCAGCTCGCAGAACCCTCTGAACCCAGACTCTCTGAACCCTGTCATACCGTCCTGTGGATCACATTTCACCGTGTGGCTGCCTGCGTGCCTCCCAAGGGGCAAGGCTGTGGTTTGTGCCACGCAGCCCCCAGCTACCACTTCCTCACCTCAGAAGTTGGGGTAAGAGAACCTGCCTGTACTCCAGGCCATCCCAGAGTGTGGCCCGGAGTAGTAATAAGGGCATCTAGTGTTTCCCAAGAAACACTTAAGTGCCAAGCCCTGGGCAAGATACTTTATTTGAAGTTATCTCGGTTAAAGTACAGGACAGTCCTGAGAGGTAGGTGCCATGATCGTGTCTGTTCACTAGAGGGGGTGTCTGAGCAGAGGGAGCTTGTCCGCTGGCTTGTGGCGGGAGGTGGGAGGCTGGGATGTGAGCCCAGGCAGTCTGACCTTATATAAGAGCCCAGTGGCTTAACCGCCCCTAGTGTCTTCAGGACACTTGCAGGGGCCATTCAGGAGGGCTCCTGAGCTCCCACCCCGGGGGCAGACCTGTGTGACCTTGGGCCTTACCCTCAAGTTCACCTGTAAAGCAGAGGATTAGGACTTACTTGAGAGGCTGTTGGGAAGGTTAACGGGGTCCCACGCTGAAGTGCTCAGTGCAATGTCCGGCCCAGGGTAGGTGCTCAGGGAGCATCGGGGCTGTCATTATGAAGGGGCGGCACTGAACCTGCTGGCCACCTGTGGCTGCCCCTCCCCAGGGATGCCCTGTTCACCATCCAGTGGAACATCCGCGCCTTCAACGCCGTCAAGAACTGGTCATGGATGAAACTCTTTTTCAAGATGAAGCCACTGCTACGCTCGGCGCAGGCTGAGGCGGAACTGGCGGCCCTGCGGGCAGAGCTGCGGGGGCTGCGAGGGGCACTGGCCACCGCCGAGGCCAAGTGCCAGGAGCTGGAGGAGATGCACGTCAGTGTCACCCAGGAGAAGAACGACCTGGCCCTGCAGCTGCAGGCAGTGAGTAGGGGAGGGGCAGGGTTTCTTTCTGCGACTTGGTGCCCCCTGGCCCCCAGCCCCCTCAGAGAACCCCAGGCCGCTCCGAGGAAATACCATAACCAGATCCCCGGCCAGGGCGGAAATGGCATGCTCTGGGTGCTCAGGCCTCACCCGGGTCTTTCTTCCTATTCCGGAGGCTCATGGGCTTGTACCCGTGCATAGCCTCCCACGTTCCCAGTCTCCCCACCCAGTCTATGCACGTGTCCTAATGCTCTCACGCCTTGTGTCCCCGTGGCTTCCTGCAAAGCTACAGCGTAGCCCCATCTCCCCAGCTCTCCCCTCCTCTCCATCCCCGAGACAGCCCCATGCTCCCTTCTCTGGTTAAGGGCCACGGGAACCCAGGCAGCAGGTAACAGTAACAACCAGAGGGTAGAGATCAAGGGTCCGGATCCTCCCCAAGTCTACAGAGCCATTCCTTCCTTCAGCAAATACTTTGAGTGTCAGGCCCCATGGAAGCTCTGGAGATACATTGGTGGGAGAACAGACAGGCCTGGGCTCACAAACTCACCTGCTAGAGCAGGAGACGTTATGCAGCCAGGTAGTGAGGAAACAGTGATGGCAGAGAACCTGAGCCCTCCATGGCCGTGCAGGGCTCTCCCCACCCCCTCAGCCCAGTGTGGGCAGAACTGGCAGTTGGCTTCTCAGCTAGAGCCCTTGTTTGGGCCTTACTCTGGGTTGCCCCCAGCCTGTCTAACGTTCCCCTCTTGCTGCCCCGTCCATCCCTCTATCTGAGCCCTTATCCCACCACACTTGAACGCCTTCAGGGCCAAGAGCAGGTCTTCGGTGTTCCTTGGTCCCAGAGCCCAACTGAGCGTGTGTCCAGCCTCTGCACGGACAAATGAACTTGCTTTCCGGGGCCTGGCCTGGTGTCCCTGAGCTGCCTTGACCCTGCCCCATTCCCCATGTCCCCCTCCAGGAGCAGGAAAACCTGGCGGATGCCGAGGAGCACTGCCACTTGCTCATCAAGTCCAAGGTGCAGCTGGAGGCGAAGGTGAAGGAGCTGACTGAGCGGCTGGAGGACGAGGAGGAGGTGAATGCTGACCTGGCTGCCCACCGACGCAAGCTGGAAGATGAGTGCACAGAGCTCAAGAAGGACACTGATGACCTGGAGCTGACGCTGGCCAAGGCCGAGAAGGAGAAGCAAGCCACGGAGAATAAGGTGTGGGCCGGGCCGGCTGTGGCCCTGGGCAGGTGTCTTCCTCTCTGTGGGCCTCAATTTCCTCATCTGTCAAATGCTGCTGTTAATAGCAGCACTTCCCTCATTAGGGCGGTTGAGGATTCAGCGTGTAACTAGCCTGTGCTGGAGCTCGCCACAGGGCCTCGCCCGTAGTAGGTACTCAGCAAATGCTAGTGATTGTCATCCACCAGCTCCATGTCCCCCGGGTGCCTTCCCTCACTGAACCCTCCCAAGAGCCCAGGTGGTTCAAAGACTCGGGGTATTGACTCCCTCATACAGGAGGGGAAAGTGGGGCTCAGCAGGGTAAGCCGCTTACTCGGGTTCTCACAGGTGCTCCCCGATGAAGGCAGGACTAGGAAACAGCTGCTTAAACACCTGTGCATCCCCAAAATAGCTGGTGTCTGTTGATCTCTCACTCTGGGCCGGACACTGTGCCCAGGGCTTTGTGAGCATTTGCTCATTAATCCCTCGAGGAGGACGCTATAATCACCCCTTAAGGGTGAAAAAGTTGAGGCTCAGAATGAAGTGACTCGCCCGAGGTTCCCTGGCTCGAAGGGGACGGTTGCTGTGACATGGTGTGGCGGCCGCTCAGACCAGAGTGCAGGGGAGGCATCCCCATGGTGACCTTGGCCCTGACACAGGTGAAGAACCTGACGGAGGAGATGGCGGCGCTGGACGAGTCAGTGGCCCGGCTGACGAAGGAAAAGAAGGCCTTGCAGGAGGCCCACCAGCAGGCCCTGGGCGACCTGCAGGCTGAGGAGGACCGTGTGAGCGCGCTGGCCAAGGCCAAGGCCCGCCTGGAGCACCAGGTGGAAGACGTAAGTTGGGGCCACGGCAGCGGCTGTGCGGTGGGGCCAGGACAGCCGGGACGGTGCGGAGCCCACCCACCCCGTCCTGCCCACAGCTGGAGTGCTGCCTGGAGCAAGAGCAGAAGCTGCGCGTGGACACGGAGCGGGCCAGACGCAAGCTCGAGGGTGACCTGAAACTGACGCAGGAGTCGGTGACGGATGCTGCCCAGGACAAGCAGCAGCTGGAGGAGAAGCTCCAGAAGTAGGCGTGGGGGGGGGGGGCTCAGCCCCGACCTCCTGGCCACAGGGGGCTTCCTGAACCTGCACCCCGCTTCTCACCCCCCTGGACTCTAGTCGGTTCTGCATCACAGCAGAAGTTGAACCCTAGGGTGTAGGGGGTCACCAAGGGCCAGGATCTAGGGCTGGGGCTTGAGAGGGAACACAGGGATGAGGTCACTTAGGGCTGCTCCGGGCGAGGTGCCTCAGTCAGCGAGTGTGCTGGGGGCGGGTACGGAGGGGCCCCAGGCAGGTGGATGGGAGTTAGGCCCTGGGCCGGCTCATGCCCACCCTGTGACCTCCGGAAAGGACTCCGAGCTGAGTCAGCTGAACCTTCGAGTGGAGGACGAGCAGCTCCTTGGGGCCCAGCTGCAGAAGAAGATCAAGGAGCTGCAGGTGTGCGGGGGACGGGGGTGGGCGGAAACCCGGGTCGGAGGCCCCCGGAGGTGACACTGCCGCCTGCGCATCCCCAGTCTCGGGCAGAGGCGCTGGAAGAGGAGCTGGAGGCCGAGCGGGCGGCCCGGGCCCGCGTGGAGAAGCAGTGGGCAGAGGCAGCCCGGGAGCTGGTGGAGCTGAGCGAGGGGCTGGAGGAGGTGGGCGGCGCGTCCGCGGGGCGGCCCGAGGGCTGCTGGAAGCACGAGGCGGAGCTGGGGCGGCTGAGGCGGGAACTGGAGGAGGCGGCCCTGCGGCACGAGGCCACAGTGGCTGCGCTGCGGCGCAAGCAGGCGGAGAGCATGGCCGAGCCGGGCGAGCAGGCGGACAGTCTGCAACGGGTGCGACAGAAGCTGGAAAAGGAGAAGAGCGAGCTCCGCATGGAGGTGGACGATCTGGGCGCCAGCGTGGAGACCCTGGCCCGCGGCAAGGTGTCTGCCTCCTTCCTGATCCCGACCTCTGACCCGACTCTAGCAGCCTATCCTGACTGAACCCCTTCTGACTCCAGCAGCTGACCCCTGACCACCCGCTGCCAATCTGACTCCATACTAGTCCTGGCCCTACACCTGATCGGGACCCCTGACCCATTCACCTGACACCCAGCCTGAACCCCACACCAGTCCTGACCTCAAACCCTACCTCCTAAACTCTGTGCCCTGACTCCAGGGGATTTTTGACCCAGTATCCAATTCGAACTTCTCAGTCCTTGACCTCTGAATTCTGACCTCATACCTGTCCTGACTGTTCCTGTCCTTAATCCCAGCACCCAACCCTGACCCCTGACCTTTGTACCACCTAAGCTTGACAGCTGACCTCTGACCAGTGTCCCCAGCCGACTTCGGATTCTAGTGTCCTAACCTCACCTTGACGCACCGGCCTTGGGACTAGTACAGCCCTCTCTCACTCCTGACACTCATCTTTTAAGCCGTAGTCCAGCAATAGAATCTCTGACCCTGAACGTGGGGTTCTGTTCTCCCTTTGATTCCTGGGCACGTGTCTAGCCTGCTAGTTCCCGACTCCGGGTCCGCGTCTCTGACTGGCAGCCCTAGATCCTGCCCTGTGAGTGACAAACCTTTTCTGATCCCTGACCCCTGACCCCGGATCCCAGGCCAGTGCAGAGAAGCTGTGCCGGGCCTATGAGGATCAGCTGAGCGAGGCCAAGATCAAGGCGGAGGAGCTGCAGCGGCAACTGGCAGAGGCCAGCACCCAGCGGGGGCGGCTACGAGCCGAGAGTGGTGAGGCCGGGGGCTTGGCTGGGCCACAGCGGGGCTCAGTGCTGCCCCTCACCCACCTGACCTGCCGGCTCGCCCCTTGGCCTGCAGGGGAGCTGAGCCGCCTGCTGGAGAAGGAGTCTTTGATTAGCCAGCTGAGCCGTGGTAAGGCCTTGGCCACGCGCAGCCTGGAGGAGCTGGAGAGCAAGGTGGGCCAGCCATTGGCTGCCGCGGAGCAGGCGGCATGGGCACAGGGCCACTGGCCGGCCCGATGCTGAGGTCACTGGGCTCTCTGCAGGCCAAGAGCACGCTGGCCCATGCCGTGCAGGCTTCGCAGCATGACTGTGACCTCCTGCGGGAGCAGCACGAGGAGGAGGCCGAAGCCCAGGCCGAGCTGCAGCGGCTGCTGTCCAAGGCCAACGCCGAGGTGGCCCAGTGGAGGAGCAAGTACGAGGCAGATGCCATCCAGAGGACCGGGGAACTGGAGGAGGCCAAGTGAGTGCCTTGCGGGCCAGGCCGTCACCACACAGGGACGGCGCCTGCACCTCGAGCTGTCAGGGGTGAAGGGAGATGCGGGGCTCAGCTACGCATCCAGATCCTGTCTGCTCCCGTGGCCTAGAAAGAAGCTGGCACTGCGCCTGCAGGAGGCAGAGGCGGGGGTAGAGGCTGCTCATGCCAAGTGCTCGTCGCTGGAGAAGGCCAAGCTGCGGCTGCAGACAGAGTCGGAGGACGTGACCCTGGAGCTGGAGCGGGCGACCTCAGCGGCCGCGGCGCTGGACAAGAAGCAGCGGCACTTGGAGCGGGCGCTGGAGGAGCGGCGGCGGCAGGAGGAGGACATGCAGCGGGAGCTGGAGGCGGCCCAGAGGGAGGCCCGCAGCCTGGGCGCGGAGCTCTTCCGGCTGCGGCACAGCCACGAGGAGGCTCTCGAGGCCCTGGAGACGCTCAGGCGGGAGAACAAGAACCTGCAGGGTACGACCCACCCCAGGGTCAGAGCCACTCTGGGGTCACTGGGAGTCCCTCAGGGTCACACAGGGTGATGGGGTTGGAGCATGAGCCGTGGGGGTGGCCCCTCAGTGCCCTGTCCACTCTGCAGAGGAGATCAGTGACCTCACAGACGAGGTCAGCCTCAGCGGGAAGAGCATCCAGGAGCTGGAGAAAGCCAAGAAGGCACTGGAAGGGGAGAGGAGCGAGCTCCAGGCTGCGCTGGAGGAGGCCGAGGTCAGGGGCGGGGTGGACACTGACCCGCTGCTCCCCGGCCTCCCCTCTCAACACACACGGCCCCACCACCATACGATCTGCTCTGCATCCCCAGGGGGCCCTGGAGCTGGAGGAGACCAAGACTCTGCAGACCCAGCTGGAGCTTTCCCAGGTCAAGGCTGAGGTGGACCGGAAACTGGCAGAGAAAGACGAGGAGTGCGCTGACCTGAGGTGCGGGGCCGGGCTGTCCCTCCTCCCCGGGCCGACAGCCTCTCCCATCCCAACCACCTGAGAGCAGAAGGGCAGGTGATGTTGGCTGAGCCCCACTGTGTGGGGGACTGGCACAGACACCTAATGTCCCCATACCCACGACCCTCTTAGGTGGGGACTATCGTCCACAGTTTGGAGGTGAACCTCGGAGAGGCCAGAGGACTTGTCCAAGGTTACACAGTGGGGGTAGAGCCAGAGTTCAGTCCCTGTCTGTCTGCTCTGGGGCCTCACTCTTGCCTGTGAAATTGCTCTGATGGGCAGCAGGCAGGCAGACACAAGGGGCTTGAAACCGGGGAGAGGTCACTTATTCCCCAACTGGCTTCATGTCTCCAGTGTTCCCTGCGTGTCTGTAAGCAAGTCCCTCGCAGGCCACGACCCCTCCTTTCATCCCTCCTAACTACAGGCGCAACCACCAGCGGGCAGTGGAGTCCCTGCAGGCCTCCTTGGATGCAGAGACTCGGGCCCGCAACAAGGCGCTACGGCTCAAGAAGAAGATGGAGGGCGACCTCAACGACCTGGAGCTGCAGCTGGGCCACGCCACCCGCCAGGCCACGGAGGCACAGGCCGCCACGCGGCTGCTGCAGGCCCAACTCAAGGAGGAGCAGGCGGGGCGGGATGAGGAGCAGCGGCTGGCGGCCGAGCTCCACGAGCAGGCACAGGCCCTGGAGCGGCGGGCCGCCCTGCTGGCCACGGAGCTGGAAGAGCTGCGGGCCGCCCTGGAGCAGGCCGAGCGCAGCCGGCGGCTGGCGGAACAGGAGCTGCTGGAGGCCACCGGGCGCCTCAGCCTCCTGCATTCGCAGGTGAGGACGGGGGTCACAGGGGTGCACGGGGCAGGGGCCTGAAGGCCGACTCTAAAGCCCTGCCCCCCCTCAGAACACAGGCCTCCTGAGCCAGAAGAAGTAGTTAGAGGTGGATTTGGCCCAGCTGAGCGGGGAGGCGGAGGAGGCTGCCCAGGAAAGGCGGGAAGCCGAGGAGAAGGCCAGGAAGGCCACCACCGATGTGAGGCTGGGCCGGGACCGTGGGGGCCCCCGAGCAGAGCCCGAAGGGACTTTGACCCCCGACCACGCCACCTCCTCCCGCACAGGCCGCCATGATGGCAGAGGAGCTGCAGAAGGAGCAGGACACGAGCGCACACCTGGAACGGACAAAGACGACTCTGGAGCAGACGGTGCGGGAGCTGCAGGCCGGCTTGAGGAGGCAGAACAAGCCGCCCTCCGTGGCGGGAAGAAGCAGGTGCAGAAGCTGGAGGCCAAGGTGTGTGCGGCCCTCCCAGTCCCTTGCCCTGCAGGGTGGGCCACCCGAGGGCAGGCTGAGGGCACCAGGCCCACTGGCTGGCTGCTCGCAGGTGCGGGAGCTGGAGGCCGAGCTTGACGCGGAACAGAAGCAGCACGCCGAGGCCCTCAAGGGGGTGCGGAAACCCGAGCGCCGGGTCAAGGAGCTTGCGTACCAGGTGGGTGACCAGGTCCACCTGTGGGGGCAGCCCTGGAGCTGTCCTGGTTCGGGCAAGACCTGAATCCCCTTTGCCTGCCCAGGCCGAGGAGGACAGGAAGAACCTGGCTCGCATGCAGGACCTGGTGGACAAGCTGCAGAGCAAGGTCAAGAGCTACAAACGTCAGTGTGAAGAGGCGGTGAGTGCATGGGGGTCTGAGGATGCCTGTGGTCACCCAACTTCTAAGCTGGCCCCAGGCTCTGCAGCCAGGTGGGATGCCAGCAGCCGGTCAGGCCTGCTCCATCACTGGGCCGTGGATTCCCCCCGTGTTGGCTTAGTGTGTAGGTTGGGACAGTGACCCCACTGCCCAGCGAGAAGACACGTTTCTAACAGCTCCGCCAAGACATGAGACCTAGCGCTGTCTCTGAAGGGACCGCGTGCGCCTTCCCCTTCCAGCCAGGTCTGGCACACGGGCACCTCTGGAAGGAGTGGCTCCCCCGCTCCTTCCTGCTGTGGGTACTGGCGACGGGGGAGGAGGGCCGCAGGCAGTGGTGGTGGAGCAGAGGTGAGGACCCGGAGAAGCCAGCCCCTTCTGGGGGTGCTGACCCTTTCAGTGACCAAAGGGTGAGCGGGCCTGCCTGTGCCCCCAGGAGCAGCAGGCCAACACTAACTTGGCCAAGTATCGCAAGGCCCAGCACGAGCTGGACGACGCGGAGGAGCGGGCGGACATGGCGGAATCCCAGGCCAACAAGCTGCGGGCGCGGACCCGGGACGCCCTGGGCCCCAAGGTGAGGAGTGGTGTGGGGCACCCACCCTGCCCTCCACGTGGGGGGCAGCTCACCCAGGAACCCCTCTCCCCTTAGCACAAGGAGTGACACCTGAGCCCTGGGCTCTGAAGAGGGACACCTGCTGCTTTTGCCCCACCCTGATCCTCTCGTCATCCACCCCTGCTGCAGCCTCGCCACCCCAGGCGCTGCTACACCCTGAATAAACGCCACGTCTGCAGCTCCTACCGGGTTCCTTCTCATTCTTTGGGGTTCAGGAGGGGAGGGGAGGGGAGCACGTGGTCTCATGGACAAAAGTCAGGTCCACATCAGTCATTTAAAATAAATTCTTTAATAGTCTCCATTTAATCGGTTTATTTGTTGTTAATAAATTGGCAACACACGGAGGGGCCGAGGGTATGCTCCCAGGCAGGCTCCTGCACGGGGGTGGGCTCAGGCAGGAGATGCTGCCCTGGAGCGGGGGGCCCGGGCACAGCCTCCCTGTGCTCCAAGGGATGGAAAGAGAAGGCCCCTCCCACTTCTGGGGGAACCCATGAACACAGCGGCCACTGAGCAAACAGAACCAGAGGAGCTAAAGGAAAACAAGGGAGGGAGGAAGGGAGGGACAGATGGGCAGACTTGGGGGAAGGTAGCATTCTCCGGTGTCCCCCACCCCTGCCCAAGGGCTCAGAAGCCTTTGCCTGGGTCCAAAGGCCAGGGCAAGCTTGGCTCACAGATTGGGGGAGGGTGCCCATATCTCCCTCCCCACCCCAGGACTGACAGCCAAGAGACCGGGCAGGAGCTCAGACAGAGCTATTTTTAAAAGTCCCCTTACCTCTGGGTGGGCCGGGACCCCAGGGTTCTGAAGGAAGGGTGGGCACAGTGTCCCTGTCCTCGTCATGGAGATCTTGAGGGAACTGAGGCTCCCCAATGACCCGGGGCCCTCAGACCCAGAGGCCAAGGGCTTCCAGACGCTCCCTCCCACCAAGCCTGTACCTGAAGACCTGGGGCAGGCAGAGAGCAGCAGGGAGGCGCGGGGTGGGGGACGGGACAGGGCAGGGCGTGAGGCACACGTACCCACGCTCACCCACGCTGGCCCAGGCCCAGCAGCCTCCCGAGGCCTGGCCCAAGATCACTCCTCGGTGAAGTCCCTGTCTATGTCCATGTAGGGCTCCTCGATGTAGCTGACAAGGGCAGAGGGTGACTGGCGGTCCGGGTTCAACAGGATGGACACGGTCTCTTTCCAGTATGAGAAGCTGATGCAGGAGCTCTGGGCAAAGAGAGAGGGGCTGGGCGGGTGCCTGGGGGACCCGGGTCAAGCCCAGCACCCCACGGGGAGGGCCTTGGTAAGGGGACAAAGAGCTGCCTGCCACAGGGTCCAGGCGGGGACCAGGGACTCCAGATGCCCCTCCGAGGGGCCCTGGGTCTGCATGCCTGCAGCCCGCCCACCCGCCACCCCTCAGGGGCAGGGCACTCACGTTCTCCAGGCAGGTGCTGTCCTTGTCCTTGTGTAGGTAATGCTGCTGCCAGAAGCGCAGCAGGTTGTGGAAGTTATTGAGCAGGAAGCCAGGGTACTTCTTGCTGTGCTCCATCCGCTGCAGCAGCCGCAGGTACAGGGGCAGCCGCTCTTTCCGTCGGGCCAGCATCAGGATCACCAGGCTGGTGTTCAGGCAGCTGACATTCTCCTGCAAGCACCAGGCCATCCAGATCACGCACATGCTGGCAGCCCCAGGGGCCCCCCGGTGGAGCGGGGGGGGGGGGG